AGTCGAGCGCCTGTGAGGGAACCTTCTTTGGGGGCTGCCGCTTGGACTTGGCCGAGGGCTGTTCGTTGTCGGAGTCGCTGTCATTCTGGAAGAGGGCGCCTGTGATGTCGAACTCATTTTCGGACATCGCTGGGGATGCCGCGCGGTGAGGCATCTTGAGATTCTGTTGCGCAGGTGGCCCAGGTCGCTCCTAATCAGAATACGGGGAAAAAAAGTTGTTTGAGATCGCCCAAGGGCGGGCGAAGATATTTTGAAGCTCGGAACCGCTCAGGCTTCGACTTTCATCAAAATTGTAAGATGTAAGATGAAACAGAAAACCCTTTCGTCCAACTATATCTTGCAAGGGTGAAATCGAAACCCAGAATATCTCTCGTCTCCTTCCGACCAGAACAAACCTAGTCCTGTCGTGATTATTCTACTTTTTTTCGTTTTAGCGGTGGAGAAAATCCCAAGGCGGTGAGCCAACAAACTCTGTTCCAGTTTTACTGCAATCCATGCTCGCTGCAAACAGGACAAACACAGTCCGCCCCGCGACGCGTCCAACACGTCCCGAAGAGGTAAAATGACAGCCCTCTCAGAGAAATGATGTGAGCTCTTAACTTCTCGCGGTGATAATTGATAGCTTTCCCGTGGTGGGTATTCAGAGCGGATTTTCGAGAACCAGTACAAAATGGGTGAGTAGAGCATCTGCTTCTCTCTTTACTGTGAAATTTTCTTGTTCTCATGGCTTTACTGACTCCTGTGCCAGACGGGGGTTACAATTATGGCAGCAACTCTTACGGAGGTGGAGGCAGCGGTGGCGGTGGCTTCATGCCTGGAGAAATGAACAGTCCAGCTGGCGGAAAGGTATTTTGTTCTCTGTTCTCCGTTAGCATTTCCCGAGTTAGAGCTTCAATGAGCTATGCCTCCCCGCTTGTATCAAACAAGGCAGCGATCTCAGACCACACTCATCGCTTGATGAAAGAAGCCTCACTGACATGTACAAACCCAGGGCGATAACAACAACGCCACACTTCGTCCGATCACAGTCAAACAAGCCCTCGATGCCTCACAACCATACCCCGAAGCCGCCTTCCTGATTGACGGAGCGGACGCGGCCAGCGTCTGCTTCATTGGTCAAGTCCGCAACATCAGCTCACAGAGCACAAACGTTACATACAAGATCGATGATGGCACAGGGGAGATCGAAGTGAAGCAATGGATAGATACACAGACCACCGACACGATGGAGACGGACGATGGGAAGGGAACCGGCACGGGGAAGAACCAAGTCGAGCTGAACGGCTACGCAAAGGTATTTGGAAAGATCAAGTCCTTCGGGAATAAGCGATACGTGGGAGCGCACTGTGTACGGCCGACGACGAACCTCAACGAGGTGCACTGCCATCTTCTCGAGGCCGCTGCGATCCATTTGTTCTTTACGCGTGGTCCCCCTGGTGGTGGAGCCGCTGGCGGCGCTTCTGGTGCTGGGGCCGGCGCGGATGCCGCGATGGGTGGTGCAAACGACTACGGTGCTGGCAACAGTAACCTCCCTGCTATGAGCCCTGCCGCTCGGAGAGTCTATAACCTCTTGAAGACTGAGCCTCAGAGCAACGAGGGTTTACACGCTCAGTTGATTGCCGCCAAATTGAATCTGCCCATGCCGGATGTAGCGCGGGCTGGGGAAGAGTTACTTACTGCTGGTGTTATTTTCTCGACTGTTGATGAGCAGACTTGGGCGATTCTGGAGTACTAGGATGATTGTGTAATGCATATACCGCTAATGTGACATTTACGAGTATGTGGCGGGAAATAAAAGGTGTTGAGGCCTGGTTCTTCTCAATTTTATACTATATACCTAGTCTAGATTCTTCTTGACGAGACATCAGTCTTAAACCTTTGTCCTCCCCTATGAAGCCTCCGGCCGAATACCCGTTAAATCTTCAACGTCCATTTACACATTCCCAATTTTGATAAGGGCGAGGCAGCATATCATATGCATCATCAATCATGTAGTATCAACTACTCAAGGACATTTATGACATCGCGTTTCTCCGAAGGGCGTCAGTCACAGCCCTATTCCAATCTGCCCGCGTGAGGAAGATGGCCTCGATGATCGAGACCAGACAAAGCGCAATAGCGACACCGGACCAGAGACCAAACAGTCCCCAATTCAGTCCGAAAGTTGTGCCAAAACTGATCGGCATCGCAATGGCATAGTATGAGAATAGCTGGACGTAACCTCCGATCTCTTGCCTTCCGATACCGCGCAAGATACCATTGCAGTTAGCCGCCAGCGCGTCAAAAAGCTGAAACGCTGCACAGAGAGGTAGAACTCCAGCTACGAGCCGGATTACTTCCTCATCTGAAGTGAACAGAAGGGGAATATAATGGCGCAGCGACGAGAGAAAGATCATGTTCAACAGACCGACGATGACCGCACCTCCCATGGTCACCTTTGCAGAAGTTTTCGCGGCATCCACAAGTGTTGCACCGATGAGATTTGCGACGCGAGTACTGCCGGAGATCGACAGAGGGAATGGGATTTGGAACGTAATGCTCGAGATTGTGGACAAGACCGACTGGGCAGCGAGGGGAGTCGTGCCAAGCCATGACGATGCCAGTGTTAAGACTTCAAAAGCAAGGCATTCGGCCTCCACCATGACCAGTCCGGGAAGTGCAAGCTGGATCATCGGACCCCAGTTCCGGAAAGCACGCTTTGTCAAACCACACCAGCATTCTGAACCCGCAACGAAGTAGACGTACAGGAACAGGAAGAACGGCATTAGCCAATCGGTAATGGCGACCGAGATCGGTGCACCAACGAAGCCCAAACCAACTTTCTAGTTACGAGTCAGTCAAGTCCGACCATACTATGCAAGAAACTGACTGGAGCGGTCATACCCAGACGAGGAACCAATTCATGAATGCATTAAAAGGGGCACAAATCAACAGAACGTAGAGAGATGCCGAGAACAATCCCTGTGCCTGCATGTACCGCTTCCCGCTCTCAAAGCAGGCGTACCCAGGCGCGCCCAGAGCAACCACCTTCAGGTACAAACCTGCCAACTTGGCGACCTCTTTCTCTGGAACAATTCTCATAAGAATTATGTCGGCGAAAAACCAAATAATTGCAATAGGAATAGTGATAGTCCAAAGGAAGAAGACCATCTTCTGCATTTGCAGACCAACAAGCTTCCTCTTTCCAGATCCGTATGCCTGCGAACAAAGCGTGTCTAAGCTGGTTGCTAAACCTTGGTAGACTACATGGCACAATTAGAATGATAAGATTAACGTAGAATGGAGGAAATGGACGAACCTGCGTAGCCGGTGATATTTGCAGTCATACTTGCCAAGCTAACAGCACCGAGCTCCTTCTTGCCCAGATGACCCAGGGTGAATATACTCGCTACCGTCAGGGAATACTGAAGCAGAAAGGTGACAGTAAGCGGAGCCGCGTATTTGCTTATTACCAGAGCTTCTCGCTTCCATGTTGTATGTATCAGACCAGCAACCACTGCTTCCTCCCACTTTTGATCAATCGCTTCAGCATCTCTCACGCTATACTCAGGGCCACCGTTCCCCGCTCCAAGCAGAGAGGTAGCTTCTGTCGGTACAGCAGCGGCTTCCGGCCTCTCCGGCCTCTCCAGTCCACTGCCAGACTCCAGTGAATCTACAGGCTGGGGAGACTTTGATCTGAGACTGCGGGACAGAAGGCCGCTAAATCTGCGCCGTCGTCCGTTGTGCTCATGTGTTCTGATATCATCCGAAATGACATGATTATCAGTCAAAAGACGTCTTTCCTCTTCGATTGCCTGGTCGCGTTCCCTCCACGAAAGACATTCTGGCTCTCCTCGGTGCGGAACAACTGTGCTATGCGATACAGTGGTGAAAAAGCTGGGGCGTTGATAAGAGCCAACTAAAGAATGGGGCCCTGTGCCGGGCTGACTATTGATCGCACGTACTGTCGACACCTCCGAGTAGTCATCGTCTTCGGTGGTGGTTATTGAGCCTTCATTATCCGCATAATTTTCAATATCTCGAGCAATTGCCGTTTCCGCCAGAGGGGAACTTGACATGCGACGACCGTAAAATGTTTGTTCGTCTGCGTTGAGCGAGCGACTGCCTTGAGTGCGAACCATGATGACAATTATTTAGAGGCAGAGATTTAAGCTGTCAATTACCGAGTCTATCCGAAGGATGCTGAAGATACGCAGCCGCTGTCATCCACCCGGTCCCAGTTCTCAAAATGAAGCTTCCTCAGCCTTCCATTGAAATACAGGGAACAAAGCACAGTGATTGGGAGCAAACCGAACGGCGTTGGGGGAGTTAGATTATTAGCAGACTTCGTCTCGATGACCGCCCGCGGCGATAAAGATCAGGAATAAAGTTGCGAGGACCAGATATTGAAAGGGCCCCACTGCCTTTTTGACGCCATCCAAGTGCCCCAGTCATGACTCATCTTGTAGCAATTGACTTTTGAATCAACAAATTATTAGTGGCCTATTTTCTAATACACAGACACGCTTCAAGGTCAACTGTTCGTCAGATGTCAAGAGTCCATGCTTAGTATTCTTGCGTTATTGCTCGGACAGTGAACCCCGCAAACGTTCAATATAGATTCCACTCGGAATCATCCCGTCCAAACATAACGATGACCGCAAGCCATAAGCTCTCGATTATTGAGTGGTTGATCAGCACCCAACAAAAGTCCATATAGAGTCCCATACTTGCTGTCGACTTTAGAGATCGATAGGCAAATCAAACTGAATAGGACGGCGGCAGAGCTCAATCAATTGCAGGGTGTGAGTTGACACATGACATCAGTCTCAAAGTGGATTAGCAGATGAATATCACGTGCTCCTGTCATCGGATGGGTCAATAACGGGACTCAAGTGTCAATTGATTCTACTTCACTGTGAAATTATCGTGGCTACCTGCTCGCCATGAATTTCATAGCTGCCCCTGGATGAGCTACACCTTTTGGAGGTTCTCTTGCGAGAATTTAATTTATACTCGATATGCCTGAAAGCATGGCAGACCAGGAACCATCCTCTCTACGGCCGCGATACAATCCGATAATTAATGTGACCAACTCGAACCCAGTGCTAGTAGAGGAGTAAGTAAATCCCTACGTATGCGGCCCCGTTATCCTACTCGGAGACAGGCAGGTTCGAGCCCGCCGTACACGCTCTCTGTCTTCTTCGATCGCCTTGATAGCATCCCTTGGCCAGAGTTTGCCCAACTAACGCAAGGCTCCAGACACCTCCAGGACAAAAAGCACCTCTTCCTCAGCCGCCCTCTCTTCGGAGCTCTCTTATTCGAGAACGTCGCCTCCGATGCTCGAGATCACTGCGCAAATGAACGGACATTCCTCTCCTGGCTCCGGCTATCCATGTACCTCGCCGTTGTCTCGATAGCGATCATCATTTCGTTCCACTTCCGCTCTCAACCAACGGGTCTTGAACGCCGACTGGCCCTTCCGCTGGGAGTTATCTTCTGGGTTCTGAGTCTGACTTGTCTTGTGAACGGGTTCGGGAACTATATCCAGACGGTGGTGAAATATAGTCGCAAGGTGGCCCTGGTGCAGAGTGGGTGGAGAACGCAGCTGACTTTTACTGTGGTTGGAGTGGTGATTTTCGCCTGCTGTATCTTGTTTATTGTCACAGGAGCGGAGAGTCGACGTTAGCTGCGGTCAGCATTTTTTGGGTGGGAGGTGCATGATTCGATGCTAGTCAATGGTAGCTTTTATGCCCCGCAAGGCGAATTAATGGTTGCCCATGAACAGCAAATTAATGACACTGTCGGGTTCTGTAAATTCAAAAGAACATCGATTGGCTCCTTATTGAGGAATCATGTTATAAAGTGGCTGGCTCATGCCATGGTATGGTATCATGCTATTCTCCAAACAGAATGTTGAAAGTGCCAGATAGTGCTGGCTATAAACAAAAGAAATCCTTTACCGTGCGCTCTCGTTGTGCAGACCTCTCACATGCGGCGAATCTCCGTCTCCCCCTTGTACTTGTCCAGGCCCGCGGTGCCGAGGTGACTCCACCACTCGAACAGCATCGAATTGCAAATCAACTTGAACCAGGGCGTGAATTTGAGGCCTGGTTGGTTGAACATTTGCTTCAATTCCTCGGCGCTGACATATTTCGTATCGCGGGCTTCGTTAGGGTTCACGTTCAGATCGACATCTGCTTGAATAAAGAGGATATAGTCGACTTGAATGTGTCAGCAACGACTGCAAAAGCAAATTCAGAAGCCACAAGGTATCAGGTACATACTCTCATGCTCGCCCCATTTTCCATCACTGGGCGCCTTGTAGTGAATCCTCGTGAAAAACTCAAACTTTTCCAGAGGAACTTGCTCCGCCTTGATTCCAAGCTCCTGGTCCAGTTTTCGCTGCGCGGCACGCTTCACACCCTGCACGGCAGCCTCCAGCTCGGCACCGGTCTCGCCGGGAATACCCAATGGGTGAGAGCAGCAGGTGTTTGTCCACATGTCCGGGAAGGTGATCTTCTCGGAAGCGCGTTGTTGCAGTAGCAGGCGGTTGTTGGAGTCGAAAAGGAAAACTGAAAATGCACGGTGAAGCAGACCCCGGTCGATGTTGGTCATGAGATGGCCTATCCATCCCACTGGTAAGTAGACAGTTTTTGGGAAACACCCAAAAGATAAACAAGGAATTGAGACACTCACAAGCCTTCTTGCTTGCACTGCCGATGGGCTTATCGTCGTCATCTAGAACAATGCATACTTCGTCCATCAAACGGACCTGTTCCTCATCGTAGCCAGCGAGCTCTTCGCTGTCTTTGGCGGTGTCCGTTGTCGAGGGGAAAACCTCACGAGCCAGCGATGTATCAACTTCGGGGAAGAGAGTGGCGACATTCTCCGCCGTGATTCTTTGGGGAGCAGTGGTTGTTGCAGTGGCTGTCATCTTGATATGTGTCTCTGGATGATGTACTTAATTTGATAGTTTGCCTGAAGATCGAGAGGCTTCAGAGAGTTCTGAAAAAGCGTCTGAGGATTTTACGGTTTTGTACCCGGCTACTCATAGGGAAAACCCCGCCCATGATTCTAAAGCGGTAAGGCGAACAAGGGCAGAATTCACTGATCCACCACCAAATCAGCTGTGATTATCATTGTTTACTCCCCGCACCTCAACGCAAGGTTCCCATGGTTAATGACTGACTCAGCTTATTATCAAAATTTATCACAGTGCATCTACCTGCTATGTAGGAGTCTGTCATTGAGCAAGCATTTGATGAGATTCCTACATCCTCCCTAATGGCAACTCTTTTTAGGATTGCTAACTATCATCCCCTGTCCTCATCACATGCGATACACCGTCGCCTGTCCTCGAAAGAGTTAATAATAAGCCCAAGACAACCTGGATAATCACCACCTGTTGCAGACTCCCATGTGACGAACAGCTTCCTCACCCGGGCAAACAGGAATCCTCTCATACCATGCCTGCTATGGAATCCTATAGAATCCCTCTCTGATGGCCACCCTGATCAGGTGACATGGATAGAGTCAATACTTGAATGAGGCAAAGTTTGGAGTGCTAAGGCCCATACTAACCAATGAAGAAATAGCGGAGGTGCGTGCACATCTCCAGCTATCAAGTAGTCATAGCCTGTTAAACCCACATGTCTTCAAATATTAATCTGCACGAACTACAGATACATTCCATCAATTGATAGTGTGATCACTACGCTTGGTGATGAATGATTGTCGTGACTCATTCCTAGCAGGACCTAGCTGCCTGTTGGAGCAGCAGGGGCTCGATCAAGCGATCCCAATGCTCTCAGCTCGTCGTCGGTAAAATACGCCGTAATTAGTAATGTCTTGGGTTACACTGCCTCAGACGGTAGGGACGGAGAGATAACGGAGAGATACAGTAATGGTCCTCACCTGACTGTAACTTATGCAACGATTTACTGCGAGTACAAGTTACGGAGTATTGAGTTCAGCATCAGAAGATGAGTTCGCACTCTTACTGATGGATTATCGGCTAAATGTGGTCTGTTTAGTATTCACATGCAGTGGTCTGACAAAGTCATAGTCTAGGTGACAACTGATACTCTACGTTCCTTACTTCTGATTCCAGCTTAGCAGCAGATCATTGTCAATGTCAGAAAATGCTGAGTAGTACGGAGTAGTGTACTGACTACGGAGCAAGTACGGAGGTACCTTACTATCTAGTGCAGTGAGCCCCGGCTCCGAATCTCCCGTCCTCCGATGGCAAGTAAGGAAAGATCCGACTTCAGAGTACTTCAGTGAACTTTCCGTTACACCACTGCCAATGGAGGAGTGTCTGATGCAATTATGCTTGACCAGGCACAAGATAAGTTGATTGCTGTATCGAAGGAGATGAACTCCAGCATATTCAGCCTATCCACACTTTGCCGATTCCGTTGTCTTGACATAATGATCGGCTAATTCGTTGCTTCGGCGAACATTTTATATGAGTCTAGACCATCGGCCAGAATCACGTCAATCTCGACATGACGATGGACGTGATTTGAGGTTGGAAGTTCGGAGTTCCGAGTAGATCAGTAGACTAATCAGCGCTATTAATGAGCCAAGACTGGTATTTACTCCTTTCAGCAACAAGGAGATGATATTTAGCTTGCTGGGCACATGGGGAGCAGTTTGTTTGTTGCACCTGAGCCCTCTATCGAGATTCCAAATCCCAGAGTGGAGCCAGTCCCCTGTCGGTCAAAGCCGAAGAGTTTCAAGGCGTCGGGGATCAAGTTTAGTTTTTCCGGTCATCCACAATATCTCGTATTCTCTCGATTTTAAAGTGGAACTACCTATCTTCGTAGCACGAACGTCCTGGCCTTTATGTCATGTTAACTAGCTCTAAGGCTGCCAGCTGGTCCGAACTCGGAAGTCAAGACGGTTTCATGAGTTGCAGTGAATCATTGCTCTCACGCGAGGATTCAACTAAGCAGATGCTGTTGTACTCCTCCTGTGTTGACCCGACTGCTACCATCCCTACTAGCTAGAGATGGTTGTCTAGACAGCCTTTTGGCTGAGTGGTTTGTTATATGACAGATGCTGTATCTAAACTGATGCTAAAGATCAAGAATATGCTTCCTACGAATCATCACGCTCAGCATGACCTCGCAGTGGTCAACGCCAGGTCCCTATCCTTACATGTTATGCTATGCCGGTTATTGACAGCCTAAAGGACTGCTTTGCCCTTTGCCATTGAGATTCATGCAACCAAAGAAACAAAATCAATCAGTATGGAGAGAAATGAACGCCGGCAAATCTTCGGTTTGCCTTCTGCTGCCGCTCGCGTAAGTAAAAATGCTACAGAAAACAGCCTCCCATAAATGCTCAAATGCTCCGGGGTATTTGTTATTCTATTGAGAATGTATGCAGTGTCGATCGTGAAGCTTTGCAGTAGTCTTGCAAACGAAGACGTTAAGAAGTCGTGTGTAGGCCACGGGCAATATGCGGTCAACGCAAATTGCGTGGCCAAGGTCGTTGTCTCTTCAGGGATGCCCTGTCGAGCTCAAAATCACCAATTGTTTGGCATGTGCCGATCAAAAATTATTTGCTGGGTTGGGAATGTATGTCTGGCGAGCCAGAGGAAATGAGTTGGCCAGGGGAACCGGTAGGTTCCTTGCCTTTCTTGGGACTGGATCGTCGAGACTTTTGCCGGCAGCCATATGCCTTATGTCTGTTGAAAAGCGCCCGCGTTAGAACAGGGATGGGCTAAGGATGGGGCACAAGGTGCGAACTTGCCTTGTCAAAGTATCTTGCCTGCTGAAACGTCGGTCACATTGGTCACAACCGAACTTTCGCAGTCCATGATGAATCTTTTTGTTTTCGCGTGGATTAGCACTAGACATAGCGAGCAGGCCCACTCGACTTACACTATCCACGTGTCTCTTTAAGTCAGTCCTTCTTCCGAAAGTCTTTCCACAAGCTTCGCAGGGGTAGAGTTTTCTGCAGCTGGGATCGTGTCTCTTCATATGTTCCCGGCAATTTGAGCGTCGAGTGAAGCGGGTGCCACACACGGTACACACGAGGCCGCTAGCAGAGGGCATTTTGCATGAGTCAATATGATTTGATGTCATCGTGCCTGCCCGAGAGGTGAACTGGGGAGTCTGGGGTATTGTTGCCGTCTGACTGTGGCCCACGGGGCCTTCTGATATAGGATCAGGCTTAAGGGCGGTGTCGCCCTCCTCTTTTCCAAGGGATGCCGTGACTGCAAATGTGTCGTTCACCATCAGTTGAGGTATTGTTGTGGACGTCGACACTCCAGACGCATCACTCGGTTCAGAGTAGAGAAGTGGATCCGGGCAATCGTCATATTCCTGCTTTACATGGCACCATCCCTCGAAAGAAGTGGTGTTGTCCGAACAAGGCGTACCCGGCCACCTATGGGACGGCTGATTGCATGTTGTATCCTGATTTCCCACATCCAAGGTCGAACAGTAACTCGGTGATGCGCTTAGGGTTTGGGGACTATAAAGGCTGTGGGGAGAGGTGGACACATCATGGTGAACAGGGAAGGACTCGTAGCACGCCCCAGTGGTAAGATTCTCAATCTCCAGACAAGGCTCGAATATGCACGGCATCAATTGATCAGGCCAGTCGGTCGTCGGTTGAGACAGTGTTTCTGGAGCAGAGCAGAGTTCCATCTGACTGAACTGAGCCTCCATACCAACGTAAGTGATTCCAAGACCAGTAGGTGGCTGTGAACTGCTGGGACAGTTTGCATGCGCGAAGACCTCAGTCGCGTAACCGTGAGTTGTCTCTATCATCATCGAGTTGTCATCAGATGAAGAGGTAACATAGGCTGGCGCGGACGAGAAGGATTCGGAGGTCCAATTCATGACCAGAAGTTGTGCTGTCACAATCGCAAGGATAAATGTTGTCTGGAGATGTGAATCACTTGTTCTTTTTCAAACTCCGGGTAAATTGAGTCGGATCTGTTTGCAACCTCACAGTCGAGACCTCGGACGGATGGAAAAAGATATTAATATCAAAGAAACAAGACGAAAGCATGCAAATTATATAAGGCAATGTTTTGACTCAACAGCAATGCTGTTGCACAGTAAGAATTGCGGCGAACATGTGTAGCGGCTGAGAAGACGACAGAAGATTCAGCCATATGACGCTCACCTGTGTACATTTCCCGCCGCATCGGCGCAGTAGACCCAAGGAAAGCAATTACCTTGACGCCTGAGTGGGCAAGGCAGACTTGGAAGGGGAGAGAAGAGAGGATGCGGTGGAGGAGGGAGAGAGACTGTGAAGGGGGTTGTGGGAAAGTTAGCTGGGCAGGGCTGGGCTGGACTGATCATTGCAGGCCATGTCTGCAACATTCAGATAGGCGCATTGATGGAGACTTGTGCACAATGACTTAGCGCCAGAAATGTGTGACCAGCCCGAGTTTTCAAGTTATTAATTTTGATCCATGTTCCTGGGGATTTGAGGGGGCGACGCTTGGTGTGGTCGAAGAAAAAAGGGTGGAGAAACAGGCAGCCCACTGGGGCCTGTTGTCCGGTACTGTGCTTCGACAGGGTCTGAAAAGGAATAATTCCAATGAAAACAGGTAATAATAGAAAAAACAATAGAAAGAGGGGGGCAGAGAAATGGATTGGTGATGAGAGAGGGAAAATACCTATCTTAGCAGCCCACAGGACCGGGGGTTGCATAAGAGTGAAGGAAGACCAGTTGGTAGGATGGATGGGTAGAATAATGATAAGTGCTTCAGCGTTCTCTCTTCACGTTCTGCGACTGGAATAACCGCGTCTTCCTAGTTTCTGGGGGGTGAGTGACTGCCATTGCCACCTTGTTTCCCCCCGATCATCGCCGCCTGGTCACTCATTTCGTCTTATCCTGCTGTGAGACGAGCATCAAAGAGGTTTAGTTGCGACCCGACAGTCTGGTACCTTGCTTGGCAAATGAGCAGTGCGTGTCGCCGGGTGTGATTGGCACAGCTGCTGAATCTCAAAAATCAAGAGTTGGGAACAGACTTGAAGAAAGCCAGAGCGTGAAGAAACAAGGGAGTCCTGCAGGATGTGATGTTGGGAGACTGAAAGGCGGTTGGTGATGGTTGCAAAGTTGATGCAGAAGACGTTGTCGATGAGCAGAGAGGAAGACGAAGACGAAGAAGCAGGACTGGCACCTGGTCGAGCCGCTCCCCTCTCTTAATCCCAGGAACAGGGGAAAGAGGGGCATTGCCTACAAAGTACGTTTACTACTAATAGTGTCTCTTCACAACCAGACTGCCAAGTAAATGTTCCAATTACCAAAAGTGACTCTATACATTATCTATACTAGAAGATAACTGTTGGTTTGAGGATGATGGCGCTCGGACTACCTCAAGGCAAATAACTTAGTCTTTGATTAATTCTCCAGGGGCCAATACTCCTCATCTCGTGTAGTGAGGATAGATATACTTGCAATGCCAAGGGAGATCATGAAAATCTTCAAAGCCCGGGAATGACTCAGGCATACCTTTTAGGGTTAAGAAAGGAATTTCAACAAAGGTGTGATAAGAATAGACTAAGGGGCAGACGGTAATAGCCGACAGTTATCTACAAAGTATTCCGTAATTTCACACCTATTTGTTTTCTATCCACAGACATTATCTGCATATACTAAGGCATCTAAGCAATAATAACGACATCCAAAGCCTGTCCACATCTTGAACCATGGTTAGTAGTCAGACTTGTCGCTGGCCGGTGCTTGCGCTAGTCTTTTAGACTATGGCCGCAGCCATCCAGTCAGTGCGTGTGTCTATCACTTTAGGTCGTGGTCTGTTCAAATGGAAGTCTGAAACTAGTGGGAGTAACTAGCCTCAGAATATCTAGCATGCTCTTATTTTCTGCTCTAAGTACTGTTCCATGGTCTCACAGTCGATTTCGTTGGTGGAAAGCTACTGTAGCTGCCACGCGCTCCACTTGGGTGCGCAACCGTTCCAGCTCGTCGATCATATCCGCCAAGTCATTACGCCCGGCCTCACCTGAGGATAGTCCACCCACTCCGCGGGCCTCCGCATGCTGAGCCGCGTTATTCGATCCCTTGGATTTCCCACAACCCAGCTGCGACGTATCGACTGTGGAAGCATGGAGCGGAGCGTGGTGCGTGGAGTAAGGGAAGTTAGCCTGTATGGAAGCGGTAAGCTGTCCAGTCGCTCGAGTAGGGGGAAAATGATTGTGTCGTTGCGAAACAAGGCGGCGGCTAGACTCAAAAGCCCAGATCAAGGCAACAAAAGGAAGGTGGGTTGCCCGGAGAAGAACGATGCGAACTCGACGGATATGCCCGGCGGACAAAAACAGCCTTAGGGGCCGAATGCAGAGAAGTGGAATGAGGTTCTGTGCCGTTTAGCATTTGTATAAAATCTAATATGAGTAACCAAGCCAAAATCGGTAGGCTAATGGCCAAGTGGTGCTCATTGGGTATAGGTTAGCCACGATAGGACTTACCAAAGGTGGCATAAAATAAGTTAGTCTCCTAGAGTTGCTACTTTCTAGGACGTAAATGGATAACCTATTGGCAACACATTAGGGACTGTTGGAGATCGAATCAGTAGGCGCGACAGGGGTGTTACGAACTGGAAAAGATACTCTTCCCGTGCATGAGCCATGACCTATATGCAGGTTGATTTAGCAATCTGCACATGAGATTTCGAAGGAAGCCGAAATAAACGCACCCCTTCTAGACTCATACTCATCAAGCTAACCAGAGAGGAGATCAATAACAAATTTGTCATTGACACGAACAAGAGCCTGTTGAGTGTGGACATTAGTCATCTCCGTTTTGTGCTTTTCGCCATCCTGTCTTCTCGCTCCACTTTCGAAGTTCCTTCAGAAAGCTTCGTGTACATCCAATTGTCAGGCGGCTCGTTTGAGGGGTGACTGGTGGCGGGCGTCTATCTGCGCCAACCACACACCACACCCCCAGCAACGGGAAAAGAAACAAAATCTTAACTGGAAATTGAATACAAAAAGCAAATAAACCAATCAAAAGGAAAGGAAGAAATAGAAAAGAAAGACGGGATTCATAGCCACTTCAACGTTGAACGTGACTAAAACTGTATGCGGTTCATATTTCAAATGGTTCGTGTGGCGCAGTAGGAGAGGTATATCATACTCACATCAAACCGTAGCCAAAAATCGGGGAAATCTAAGAAATTAGCGCCTTAGCTATCTTAACACGAGAGCCTATCGATTCTGCCAAACTCGTCGCATCTTGTCACATCGTCGATGGCAGCCACTTAGAGCAACAGACTTACATCATATGCGATGTCCTAATAGCCAATCGGTCAAGCCACCGTCAGTCAAGAATGCTCTTCTACCACAGAATAACCGGAAAGAAGCGTACAAATCCTAAGACACTCGATCTGCCTCGCATTGTCAGTCAAAAGAGCGGTCGGAAATAGGAAATCTTCACCGACATACCCAAAGAATACTTTCACAAGAATCCATGACATTTGCCGCAGAGACAGTCGGTCACGGGCAAGCATAGTGAATGTTGTCAGGAACCCTGTCAAGAAGTTCAGCTCGCACGAGGCATAACTCGACATGACCTGAGCCCTTCAGATACTCACCAATGTACAAAATGACGACCACAGGAAGGAATCTGAAAAAGGCTTTGGTCTAGAACATATCAATCAGCCTTACACCGATCGGCGTATCCGAGATATTGAGACGGTACCATCTCTTTCAAAACAGGTATCTATGCGCAGCAGCTTGTCAGTATTTGTTCCAGTAGGTGGTTTCCCAGCATGAAGAAGGTAGTCCGACGTACCAAGCTGCCAAAATACGGGTTCAAGCTCACTAGTGAGCAAATCCTGTGAATTGCTCGTGTTAGTCAACGTCGTGAGCCGAAGCGTCAAATCAATCGTCGTGGTAGTTGAAGCCTTGCCTTGGAACCAAAAACAAAGCCTCCAATGACAGTATGTCGAATGATAAGTCCGTGATATAATCGCTCTCTTTGACCAGTCCAACGATACCTGCGAGCCCAGATCAGTAAGGAGAGCGGAACAGCGATGCATACTTGTTGCCTTCGCCGAAGAGCTACCGGCCCAAGTATTGTACCAGGGGCGAATGACTCACGCGCAATAACAAAGGCAAGCCCAATGGCAATGATACCCATGTTCCAGAGGCTCCAAAAATCCATCTGGTAGAAGAGCATCCCCGCGTCGACGATGCCGCTCAGTTCATCATAAGCAAAGGCAGCTATCCAGACATACATCAACGTCTCGAAAATGCCTATGCCGGTTGATTTTCTCTCAACAAGGACTGCGTAGTATAGGAACAAGAAAGAAACAAAAAAAGCGGCCTCAAACGCTTTTCGATACATTGGAACTCTTAATCTTGAGTATGGATCCGCAGTCCTGTAGCGTGGATCGCGAAAATATTAGTGAAAAGTAAATGCCTGGAAGACTATGTCTTACCTTTTGTTAAAAAACCGAGGCTTCTTCTTAGAATGTACACTTAATGAGTCCCAAAAAACAATCTCCCCGTTCCAGATATCGTCTATCACCCTTTGAACAGCCTTCTGGCTGAGAAATTTTTTAGCATGGGCGATTGCTGCGATTTCCAGAGCGTTGAGACCAAAAAAGGGCGAGAAGGGATGAAGTTCAGGTTCTTCATAATACCAGCCCCGAGATCCTCGATTGTCCTCAGCGCAAGAGTCACCTCGGTGGCTTTTGCCGACAAAGAATCGGTAGAGGGACGAGGAAGAGCTCAACAATAGCGGAGTCCTTTCACCTCCTGTCTCGTTGCCTCCATCTTCATGAGAGATTGACCCAAGTCCAGATGCGCCTTGCTCGGCCTGTGAGATTGTTGCAGAGTCTCGTCTGGGAGAGGGAAGCTCCTCGAGCAGTACATCTATCATCTCTCGTCGTGTGAGGTGACAAAGAAACTGCCAGGCGATGTATTCACACGCATAGCCCCGGCTTTCATTCAACCCCCAATCGGAGTCGTTGTCTTCGTTGTTTAACTGCCATTTCAAGATCCTGATACGAGCCGTTCTCAGGAGTCGGTCTTTTGCAGGATAAATTCGGTTCTCAACTTACATCAAAGCAGATATAATCCAAGGATTGTGTGAATTCTCGGCCAGAGAGCCTATGAGGAGTCGGAGCTTGTGTCCATAGGCAGAAGATCTCAGCTGCTCAAATGTACATGCAACATCAGGTACAGCTACATTGAGGTAACTGGTGATATGCCAAGTTAGACCCGCCGGTACAGGTTGGGCAAATGCATGCTAAACTTACTTCCCTAATTTCCGAATCACCTCGGCAAGACTCTCGTTGTCATCGATAATAGGAATCTCTGGATATTCACCGTTAGCCGGTAAGACAGGTGTTGCCGGCGCATCCATCCTGGTGGACGCTGGTTGGAAGTAATCGTTCAGTCTCCTTCGCAAATATTTCTTCGAGACTTGCGACCACCAGCTACTTTGCCCTCCACGAAATGATCGCGCGCCGATCGAAGTGTCCTACAATAACCACGAATGACGTTATGTCGCCGACGATCGGTAGGTCCGTCGTTTGATTGTGTCGGTGAGAGAAATTCAGTTCAAGCCCTTGATACTGTCACTGGCCTTCTTATAGCCTACACCAGGTGAAGTATAATGCGGGGCTCATGTACCCTGACCCATAATTCAGGAGCCGAATTGCAGAAATTCATTCAAGTCGTTCATATTTTGTTGAAACGCAGGAAAAATCAGGGAGAAGGACGGCCCAGCTGTCTCGCTGACGAAACTGTTTGATTGGACGCCAAAGACTAGTTGGTGCAAATCTACTCCGTACTTTAGTTAACTTGCAGTGCTAGCTTGATGTTAGACCAGTTGAGGATCTTAAAATGGTTAACCTTCGAAAGGGCTCGTCAACTTCAAGATACGAAGGAAGATGTAATTGGTGGTAAACTCTAAGAATATCGTTCGGCGGCGCAAGAACGAATCTGCAAGATCTACTTCTGGAGAGGTAAGGTGGATTCTCGGAAATTAGTGATCTATCCAAAGGAAAACAAGCAATAAATGGGAAGACTTGGCCAGTGATATGGCACAAATGGGCGTTGTAAGCAGTAGCTACACCGCCTGAATGTCATGTGACCCCGTCATCGCCGTCACCCGCGACTGATGTCAAGACATGATGGTAGAGGGGGCATCTGTTCAGAGAGTTTGCGTACAGATCGTTTCAATCTCAGTATCAATATCAATATCAACTCTATCAACATTGTAGGCTTGTGTCTCGAAGATATTTTGAAGCTCTATCTACTCTTAGTGGATGAAATTCGTGATTCTTATTAGCACTTGAGATGAGGTCGTCGCGACACTATGGGGCAAGGCTACTCCCTCACAACCCTTTCAACGGGTTCGGCTGGGATAGATATTCCCGAGCTATCAGATCTGATGTATGAGAAGTCTATGGGTGGCGGCCGGTTCATGAAAAGTATCCGAGCAAGACAGCAAAATGGCCTCGTTCTTGTAAAGGTAATCATGAAGCCTTACCCCAGCATGAAGCTAGAATCCTATGTCAAAGCTATCATTCGTGAGTTTGCTTTTGCCGTGAAACAGCCCTGGATATACTCTGACAACGTAATAGGGGAGCGCAAACTACTATCTGATGTCCCAAATGCTTTGAGCCATCAAAGAATTTTAGAGACCGGCACTGGGGGTTATCTGGTTCGCCAATATATTCACAGCTCTCTATATGACCGGATGAGGTATGCTTCGTACATATTATCAGCCAGAAATTTTCTGACCCCGGTAGCACTCGACCATTTCCAGAAGAAATCGAGAAGAAATGGATTGCATTTCAACTTTTATGTGCTCTTCGGGATTGTCACTCATTGGATGTTTTCCATGGCGACATCAAGACAGAGAACATCTTGGTGACATCATGGAATTGGTTGTACCTCACAGACTTCTCTTCGTCTTTCAAGCCCACATTCTTGCCGGAGGACAATCCTGCAGACTTTTCTTTTTATTTTGATACCTCAGGTCGACGAACGTGCTATCTGGCCCCTGAGCGGTTCCTCGAAGCCGGTGAGGAGCCAGGGAATAGGCGTCTCAATTGGGCCATGGATATATTCAGTGCTGGCTGCGTGATTGCAGAGCTGTTTCTAGAAGCGCCCATCTTCACCCTAAGCCAGATGTACAAATACCGCAAAGGCGAATACAGTCCGCAACACAGCCAGCTGGTCAAAATCGAGGACCCGGAGATCCGAGAGATGATCCTCCACATGATTCAGCTTGAGCCAGAATCGAGATATTCTGCCGAAGAATACCTGAACTTTTGGAAAAATAAAGCTTTTCCGGAGTATTTCTACAGCTTTCTTCATCAGTACATGTCTTTGATGACAGACCCTTCGTCGGGCAGGGCGCAGGTGGAAGCGGAATCAGCAAACAGGGGCGAGTCAGATGACAGGATTGAGAGGGTTTACTATGATTTTGATAAAATCTCTTACTTCCTGAGTACATCTTCGAAGCCTGTGAAAGACGGCTCCAGTCGCAGTAACTCCAGGCTTACTGGGAACGCGTTCCCGATCCACCTTGATCTCCCGAACTACGGGGCACAGGCTGCGAAGTCTCAGCTCCGGACTGACGATGGCGTTCTGATCTTCTTAACGCTTGTCGTGTCTAGTCTGCGCAACACAGCAAGAGCATCTGCCCGAATCAAAGCTTGCGATATCCTTCTTGCTTTTGCAGAGAGATTGTCGGATGAGGCGAAGCTTGATCGTATCTTGCCTTACATTATGATCCTTCTAAACGACCGCACTGGCAGTGTGAAAGTTGCTGCCATTCGTACTCTTGCGCAGCTACTGGAGATGGTACAGGTCGTCTCGCCGGTGAACGCATATCTCTTCCCAGAATACATTTTCCCTCGGCTACAACCGTTCGTCTCTAGCTCCAGCTCCAATCCAAGCCCGATGGTGCGCGCTGCGTATGCCTCCTGCATCGCTTCACTAGCGCAATCTTCTCTGAGATTCTTAGATATGATCCAGGCTCTACGCTCTGATACTCGGCTTTCCGCCCTTATACCGGCCGAGTCCGAGCCAAGATGGACTGAGGATGCCACCTTTCACAATCTCTATGACGTTGCGAGGGTAGACCTTCTCGAATATTTTGAGAATCATACCAAAGCTCTCTTTACCGACTCCGACGCATCTGTCCGCCGTGCTTTCTTAGGCTCAGTGCCCAGTCTGTGTGTGTTCTTCGGCAACCTTAAGACGAACGAAGTGATCTTGAGCCATCTGAACACTTATATGAATGATCGGGACTGGATCTTAAAATGTGCGTTCTTTGAAGCAGTCGTCGGAGTCGCAGCTTACGCTGGAAGTACGAGTTTGGAGCAGTACATATTGCCTTTGATGATTCAATCTATGACCGAGCCCGAGGAATTTGTTGTTGAGAGAGTGCTTCGATCCCTGGCAGCGATGGCTGACCTCGGTCTTTTCCAGCGATCGACCACTTGGGAGGTCCTCCAGATCGTCGTGCGTTTCTTAGTCCATCCAAATACGTGGATTCGTGAAGCAGCTGTTTGCTTCATCATCAATAGTGCAAAGCATCTGTCCGTTGCCGACAAGTACTCAATCCTGGGCCCTCTCGTCCAACCATACGTGAGAGTCAATATTGTAGATTTCTCCGAAGAGAAACTGCTTGACGGTCTCAAGAAACCATTATCTAGGGGTGTTTATGACCTGGCCTTCGTTTGGGCTTCTAAAGCGGAGAAAGGTCTTTTTTGGAAGTCGACAGCTCGAGATGAAGTGTTTAGCGTGGGAGGCACTGACCATTTTCTTCCGAGGGGAGGCCAAAAGGTCCCAAACTTCTCACACAGCGCGCAACCCAAAAACGAGGAGGATGAGCAGTGGCTATCTAGGCTAAGGAACATGGGGCTCGGTCCGGACGACGAATTCAAGTTGCTCGTTCTACGAGGCTACATTTGGGGTGTGTCTTTGCGTCAGATGAAAGAGTCCGACAATGTGGTGTCCTCGTTGAACAACGTAATAGCCCTGACTCAATACGGAGTGACACCTCAAACAGTCTTTTTTGATAAGCAACAGAGCGCCAAGCCCCACGGTACTCCCTTACCCAAAGTTGACGATGCCGGATTGGGAGAACGCAAGCCGCACACTATCACCGATGCCTTGTTGGATGCGTCAACTACGATTGACGGCGCATCTCACGCTCGTCGGAGACATTTGAGGACGCGCAGCCAGCTGCGGAGAGATGCAACGAACGCCAATGATACCCCAAGACAGGAGTCACATGACAATCTTCGAGCTGAGAATCCTGTGGCATCATCACCAAGTGCTGCAGAGTCTCGGCCCCTTTCGCCTCTCAACTTTGATGCGGAACGAAGAGGCAGCGTGGGCAGACAGAGTCCTGGGCAGGACAGCCCGTCGACTCCGACGGAAGCGGGAAGCCCTTCTGTCAAAAACAATCATCTCACAACTCACGTGGAGAGGAAGTCAAGCGCGATCAGTCTCCTCAACCGCAAAGAATCATCAAAAGCGTATGCGGAGACCAGTATGAGTTCGGCAAATGCATTCGGCAAAGTCGACGTGCCATCCCAGCGTCACTCACCACAGCCGTCAGCATTGACTCTGGCGCACGAAAAGAAAGCTCGACTCAATGAACCGCAGCACTACCGTGCTAACCATTCCTACGTAGGAAACGACCCGGTGATTCTCAGACTGCTGGACAGCGTTTTCGCAGAGAATTACCCCACTGACCTTTTCGATCTTGGTCCGTTCGTCAAGGAAGCAGACCCTCGCCGTCCGATTAAGAAGGCCAGCGGCCACGGCGAGAACAAAGTCTGGAAGCCAGAAGGGAGTCTCGTCGCACTCTTTGGCGAGCACAGCGGACCGGTGAATCGGGTGGTGGTAGCTCCGGATCACGCCTTTTTCATTACTGCATCAGATGATGGGACCGTCAAGATCTGGGATACTACGCGGCTCGAGAAGAACTTGACGCCTAGGTCCCGGCAAACATATCGTCACTCCAGCGAGGCCAAGGTGAAGACGCTCACCTTTGTCGAGAACACTCATGCATTCATTAGCGGTGCCACTGATGGGAGCATCCATGTCGTAAAGGTTGACTACCATAATGTCAATGAGACGGTCCGATACGGGAAGCTCCAGCTCGTACGTGAGTATCAACTGCCGGCAACTGACGCTGGGTCTGTCGAGTACGCGCTCTGGATCGAACATTTCCGCTCTGATGCACAATCCACGCTGTTGATTGCGACCAACACCTGCCGCATCCTGGCTCTGGATATGAAGACTATGCTTCCCATCTATTCTTTGCAGAACCCTGTCCATCATGGCACACCGACAACATTCTGCTGTGACCGAAAGCATAACTGGCTGCTAGTA